GGGGGGGTGAAGAACCGGAGGCGGAGGTGAAGAACCGGAGGCGGAGGTGAAGAACCGGAGGCGGGGGGTGAAGAACCGGGGTGGAGGTTTTTAGCAGGAGAAAGTCTGAGGTTGTACATTTATGTAATGTGTGTGGAAGAGACTCACACCCAACCACTGCTGTCCAGCCTCGACTTTAAAGAAATATTTTAGATCTTTTAAAGAAAGGGTTCTTTTGAGAGGTTATGTGCGATCAGTATCTTACCTGTTGTAGATAGCTCTTAGCAAGCTGCTCTTAACTTTGACCTCAAAATGGCTTCAAACATCTGCTAAGTTCATGGAAAAAACCAACGTAGACATGTTCCTGTTTTTAGTATTTTACATCGCCTTTTAATCTAGCTGTTTTCTTCCATTTATTTTTCAATTTATATGGTTTTTCATGATTGAATGTCAACTGTCGTCATCACTCTTTGTTTAAATCTGGTCTCTCTTGTAAATGAGTCCTCGAGGCTCAATGAGACTAACCTGTATAAATAAAGGTTGAGTGAAAAAACAAACAAACGTGCTAACAGCCAACTAAGGTAGAAGTTACAGCTAAAGTTCATGCAAACTATTTTATAAACCTTCACACCACCATAAGTTATCCAAGTGAAATATGTCTGCCAGAGGTGCTACAGCTAGCTGCTGCTACTGCTAATAACCAAAGGATTCAATGGAAATAACTGTACTAAAGAATTCACAACGATACATCAAGCTTTGCATGAATCGCCCGCTGAGTTGCACGCCGAAGTTTTAAACAAATTTCTCATGCAACCTCTCATGTGGATGACTCTCAGCTACTACCACACCAAATTTTACCTCAGTGTCTGTAACAGCGTCTAAGTTACAGCTACTTTTGTTTGCTGTGGGGGCCATCTTGAATCAGGTTGTCTCCAAAAGTCACTCAGTTGTAGATGTATATTGAATGATTAATTTCTGTGAATTTCATAAAAATGTGTTTTGTGAGATATTTTTCTAACAGACAAAGATCTGCTCAAAAATTCAGACAAATACATGATCGCCCACTTTTCATGGCAGCAGACGTAAAGCATTTGAGTTTTGGGCCTCAGGTCCTTAGACATTTTGGGGACTCTTGCTCTCTTATTGAATTTCCTTGTAAAAAAAAAAAAAAAAAGCCTATAATGTTAATTACGGGCACAACAAACTCGACAGTCACTCGGCCACAGCGTTGTTCTGACCGTCAGAGCCGTGATCAATGACCCTCAGCGTCGCACGTATTATTAATTATTACTGTTGCTTTTATTTT